GAAGGACAGAGACAGTATGAGATTCCTGTGGGTGGAAGATGTCACAAATGAGAAACCTGTTGTTAAATAATACAGGTTTACTAGAGTCATTTTTGGAAGTGGACCAAGTCCATATTTGTTAAATGCAACATTGCAAAGGCACCTCAAGAAGTACGAAGAAGAAGAACCAGCAGTTGTCCGAAATGTCTTACCAAACATGTATTGTGATGACCTTGTGAGTGGAACTGCTGACAGTACGCAAGCCATAGAGTTGAAAGATAAAATTACAGAGATTATGAGAAAAGGAGGTTTTCAACTCCATAAGTGGAAGACCAACCATGTGGAGGTCAGAAAGCACATAGAGGAGAAAAGTTATCAAAAAGATTCAACTACAGTGACGTATGCAAAGGAAAGCCTAGGAACCAAAGATTCACAAAGTAAAATTTTAGGATTAAAATGGAATCCAGAAGAGGACACACTAGGAATTAGTATGGAAGCAGTGCTAGATGTGAAGAATGGTAAAGTGACGAAGAGAGAAGTCCTAAGCAGACTGTCAAAGGTAAATGACCCACTGGGTATTGTGGGCCCAGTTGCAGTTACTGCAAAACTGATATTCCAAGATATCTGCAAGGAAAACAAGGATTGGGATGAGCCAGTAAGCCCAGAGATTGAAATGAGATGGAAGAAATGGATGCAAGCTGTTTCAAGGTTGACTGAACTCAAGATTCCCCGATGCATTATGCCAGCAATCGGTGGACCAAGGAAGATTTCAATTCATGTTTTCGGTGATGCAAGCAAGGCTGCATATTGCACTGCTGTATACCTTGTATGGCACAATGAAAACCAGTCAGGTGCACACCTTGTTACTGCAAAGACAAGGTTACCTCCAATAAGGAAAGAGTGACAATACCCAGGTTGGAACTAACAGCAGCAAGGATCGCAGCACGTTTGTTGAAAACAGTCAGAGAAACTCTAAAGAACTGGGAGCTAGAAGAGTTAGTTCTGTGATCTGACAGCAGCACAGTGCTACATTGGCTAGAGAATCGAGGTCAATACAGACAGTTTGTCCAGCGAAGAGTAGATGAGATACAAGCATTAACAACGGATGTAAATTTAAAATATGTGCCCACAGCTGAGAATCCTGCAGATTTGGGCACAAGAGGATTGTCTCCCCAGCAATTAGAGCAAAGCAAGCTTTGGTGGAATGGACCAGAGTTCATAGTGGATGGAAATTATCCCCACCAGCCTCACCTGATCGAAACAGTTGAAAGCAAGGCTGAAGAAAGACAGTGTACACCTGATCGAAACAATTGCTGAAGAAGAACCAAGTCTGTCAATCAACAATTTAGTGGCTGCGGAAAACTATGGCTCATATGGCAAACTGTTGAGAGTTACAGCTCTTGTGCTTAGGTTTATAGGTTGCCTCAAGGAGAAGAAAAGGCCAGATACTCAAATGTTGCGTGTAGAAGAGATCCAGGAGGCAGAAGAATTGTGGATAAAAGATACACAAGTGATGGTGAAAGGAAGAAATAGTTACTCTCAAATAAAGACACAGCTTGCAGTGATAGAAATCAATGGAATCTTACACTGCCAAGGACGTCTTCAAAACACAACACTACCAGTTGAAAGCAAGTTTCCAATACTGTTACCCCAGGATAGCAGATTTACAAGTTTGCTAATTTCAGAGTGTCACAAGCGTACACGACACGGGGGAGTAAATACAACATTAGCGGAAGTCAGAAGCAAGTTTTGGGTCTTAAAGGGACGCCAGGCTGTAAAGCAACAATTACGTCAATGTATGGTTTGCAATAAGCGAAATGCAAAGACATGTGCACCACCTCAATCTGGACAGCTACCAGCAGAGAGGGTGGTTCGAGGCAACCCGTTTAGTACAACCGGAGTTGACTTTGCAGGACCTATATATTTGAAGAATGAAGAGAAGGCATATGTTGCACTATTCACATGCGGCATAACCCGTGCAGTACACTTAGAGCTCACAGAAGATATGACAGCCAATGAATTTAGAGGAATGTTTCGAAGATTCATCAGCAGACGTGGAGCACCTGCTACAGTAATAAGTGACAATGCAAAAACATTCCTTGCCACTGCAAAGCACTTGAAGAAGATATGTGTAGAGCAAGAATTGCAGGATTTTTTGTTGGCCAACCGCATTGATTGGCATTTCAATGTAGCTAAGGCACCGTGGCAAGGCGGCTTCTTTGAAAGATTAGTTGGAATAACCAAGACAGCATTATTCAAGACCATGGGAAAGGCAAAACTAACCTTTAGAGAGCTGGAAAACATGTTGATAGAAGTTGAAGGAATGATAAATAATCGACCACTTACCTGTCAAACATCAGATTTAGAGGAAGAGCCCCTCACTCCAAATCATATGATTCATGGTCATCGACTAGCAATGATAGGAGATGTCAAGCATGACAACGATGCAGATTTTGATAACAAGAACGTGAACAAGAGAATGAAGTTCTTGAGAGCTAAGCTAGAGCATGTATGGAATAGATGGTCAAAGGAGTATCTTTTAGGTCTTCGTGAATATCATCGCATGACTAAAGGAGGAGAAGCATTACCAGAGCTTGGAACTTTGGTATTGATCATAGATACTACCATTGAACGACGTTTCTGGAAGTTAGCTAAAATCTCCAGTTACATAAAAGGAAGAGATGATGTAGTTCGAGCAGTAAGATTAGATGCGGTATCTCAAGGGCGGAAGATTGTAATGGAAAGACCATTTCAAGGAATATGCCCCTTAGAGATAAAAGCACAAGTAGAAGAGCAATATACTCAGGAAAAGCAAGTTCAGGCAAAAAAAGGCAAGCCAAGAAGAGTAGCAGCTTTTGCAGCTGACGAATTATTGAAAGTACATGCACAGTCATTAAATCAAGAGTCAAGACACTTGATTTGCGGGAGTGTACTGAATTATAGCTTAGACCCCCTGATTCCATTTTGTTATAGCCTCGTTTTGATTAGAGACCACGTTTTTTTCTGGAAAAGATATAGTTTTGTTGATCGATATAGCTTGCACTCGCACAAATGTTTTTCTCTATCGTAAAAATATTCTCCGAATGTGTTGATTAGGATATTTTACGACACTGCTGAAAAAGCCATCCATGCTTTTGTCACATCTCAGCTAGATTGCAACAATTCTCTTTTATATGGTTTGCCAATCTGCGAGTTAAAAAAGTTGCAAAAAGTTCAGAAAACTGCCACCAGGATTTTGGCCGGTGCGAAGAGGGACAGTTACAAAACCCCAGTGTTAAAAGAGCTTCATTGGTTGCCAATATCATGCAGGATAAAATATAAAATCTTAACGTTGACTTACAAGTGCATCAATAACCTTACACCAGTATACCTTACTGAGTTGGTCACATTACGAACAGCAGCGCGACAGAACAGGGTTCACTCCTAACATCTTTGGAGTGCTGGAACATACTTCACTGATGGCCCACATAATCAATAAAGCACAGATAAAGCAACGTTCTATGGTTGTCACTCTTTTGGATTGAAAGAACGCATTTGGAGAGGTCCGTCATAACTTAATTCTTAAAGCTATGGACTATCATCACATCCCTGCTCACTTTCAAGATCTCCTGTCTAATCTTTATACTGACTTCCACACTTCTATTATAACCGATAATTTCAAGTCTCCAGCCATTCCTGTCAAACGAGGGGTACTGCAAGGGGACTGCCTCAGCCCTCTCATTTTCAATTTATGTTTCAACACCTTCATTCAGCTGGTAAAACAAGACAAATATAAACAACTTGGATTTTCTCCGCATGATGGCAATGATCGCTTGTTTAACCCTGTTTACTGGTTTCAATTCGCTGATGATGCTGCAGTTGTCACAAGTGATGAACGCGAAGATCAATAATTGCTAAACTGTTTTACAAGATGGTGCCAACGGGCAAATATGGTCATCCGCATAGACAAGTGTGTAGTGATTCCATTCATTCTAATTTTTCCTCACCTATCGCCATCCATTTCTACTTTGTTTATTTTACCTACAGTAATTTCTTCACATCAATACCTCATCACTACACGCTACGAGCATATCACTATGTCAACATTTCCTCTCTTTTGTTTAGGCCTTCATCAACCCTACACATCTACCTAATCTCAATTCATAAACTATTCACACTTAGCCTAGCCCTTCCTTTCCCACGCTACCTTATTTATTTTACGTAATAAATCACCGCTTATGTATATACCTTTCCAATAGATTTTTAGTTAGTTAGTTTTCATTTCGCTGGAGAAAAGACACACAAAAACACATCAAATTAGTTTTCATTGTGTCGATGGCCTAAGGCAGCGTGTAACAAGAATCAAGATCATAAAGATAAAGATCGGCGAGATCGTACAATTACAATTTATTTATTAATAGTTCATTATTCCTGCACAGCCACAATTTGACCTATTAAAATGGTGACCACGACGTGACAGACATGGCAAAGACCACATTCTTCGACGTTATTTTCAACCCAACTCAACTCAACCGAATTTGTCAGCTACATTCACTCATTCAACTGGATTGTCACACACTCGAGCTCAGCTAGACAACACAGCACTCGGACACAAGTGTCTCTATTCGCCTCACATCCTCGGCAGCTCCACGGCACTCTCCAGTGCTCGGCAGTGTCTCACGCTCTTCGCAGGTTCTTGGTTACCCTACTCATAAAACCTTGGCATCCACGCACTCGACTCACTGCAGTGCCCTCGCATCCCGGTTCCTGGTCATCCGACTCACAAAACCTTGGCAAAACAACTCTACCGGTTCTTGGTCACCCGACTCACAAAACCTTGGCAATTCACTCATCGCAGGTTCCTGGTAAACCTATTCACAAAACCTTGCTCAACATCGGACTACGTCGCAAATTCAAGTCAATTTTCATCGCTGCTTGCAGACCCTCGCAAGGTACACGAAAGCAAGTCAACGAACAAATAGACATTCGAACATTTAAGTAATTTTTATACGTATATTTCTATTGTCTTAATTATTCGCAGCTAACCACATACTAACACTTATCGAATCCTTCGCTATCGCTTGCATTCTAGGGGGGGAGCTATGTAGTGATTCCATTCATTCTAATTTTTCCTCACCTATCGCTATCCATTTCTACTTTGTTTATTTTACCTGCAGTAATTTCTTCACATCAATACCTCATCACTACACGCTACGAGCATATCACTATGTCAACATTTCCTCTCTTTTGTTTAGGCCTTCATCAACCCTACACATCTACCTAATCTCAATTCATAAACTATTCACACTTAGCCTAGCCCTTCCTTTCCCACGCTACCTTATTTATTTTACGTAATAAATCACTGCTTATGTATATACCTTTCCAATAGATTTTTAGTTAGTTAGTTTTCATTTCGCTGGAGAAAAGACACACAAAAACACATCAAATTAGTTTTCATTGTGTCGATGGCCTAAGGCAGCGTGTAACAAGAATCAAGATCATAAAGATAAAGATCGGTGAGATCGTACAATTACAATTTATTTATTAATAGTTCATTGTTCCTGCACAGCCACAATTTGACCTATTAAAAGTGCATCACCTTGGAAATCAAAAAGTTTGCAACTAGATCTGCACAGTTTCAGCCTAAACTCTTCATTAACAACGATCCTGTCCCTTTTGTGAAACACGGCAAATCTTACAAATAAATGGATCGTTTCTTCAATTATGATATGAAGGACCAGGAACACAAAGATCATTTTACCTCTTTTCTCCGTGAGATGCTCAAAGTAACTCGCTGAACAGACTAACTGCTTAATCAATACAACTTTTCAAAGCTCTCTTGGGATCTCACAGTTGCTAATCTCTCCAAAATGTGGGTTTGTGAAAACTTAGATCAGCTTGTCGCAAAATTTGTTTGTCAGTGGCTCGAGCTTCCAATATCTTCGACACTGAGTGACATAGTTTTTTCTTGTGAACACTTTGGTCTTGAGCTTCTGCTTCCTTCCGTAAAGTTTCAACAGTGCCAGATTGTTCTTCGAAACTTACTGAAATCTTCCCCCAACGAAACTCACTCAAATCCCTATGGATGAGCACCAATTATGAACCTAATATACAGTTCGACGCATAAAAGAACACCAAGGCGGTACTGAAATGTGTAAGGGACGAACACACTGAAAAGTTCAAAACTCAGTTACCATCTCAAGGCTTTTTCATTTCATTCCTGCTTGAGCATTCCTATACAAAGTTAGCCCCACTCTGTTGTGCAGCTCAAATTAAACTTGCAGAAACATCTTCAACTTTATGTTAAGGTACCTCAACAACGCACTAGCCACAAGGAACAGCCTCTGCTTATGGAAAATTAGCTCTTCTCTAGATTGTTTATTCTGCCTTGGGCCTGAATCACTTCTTCATGTCATAGGTGGATATAACAAATACCTTGAGCGAGGGCCTTTTATTTGGAGGCATGACTCTGCCCTTCATTGCATCATCCTAGGCTACCTTAAGCAATGGAAAGAGACCATTTCAACTCGCCCGGGAAATTTTCTGATGCTGCCAAAGGATGTTTATTTTAAAACAGACGTATATGAGGAGCTACAACTAACTGCCTATTCTGCTGTACAATGTATGCAGCAACTTTTGAGTGTTGTGTTTTGAGAGTCTAGCGACTTGTTCACTGCGAAACATACAACAGGTTATGGGCCCAGGCCAAACCACTGCGTAATAAAATTTAATGTTTTGGATTTCCATTTACCTCGTCGATAAATGTATAAAGAAAACTTTGATCGAGCATGGCTGGAATTGGAGATAAATACGAAATCGAGAATTTATATAGGTGGAGCTGGCCTACACGGAAGTTTCAAATGAAACATTTGTTGATGGCGAAAGATGTGTGGGATCACATAGATGGAACGATTCTATTACCTGACGATGATACAGCATCTAGAGCCACATACGAAAAGGCCAAGCAAAAGGCAATGGCGACGTTGGTAATGGGAATTCAGTCGAATCTAATCTACTTGGTGACATCATGCGAAACACCGAAGGACTTGTGGGATACTCTCAAAGCCTATTTTGAGAGGGATATGATAGCGAGCAAGCTGTTTCTCAAGAGACAATATTTTACTTCCAAAATGCTTGATGGGCAATCGGTTCAGGGATGGCACCACTGGGGGTGCTTGGGGGGCAGGAGCCCCCCAAAAATTCATTGAGCCCCTCCGTCGGCACTTCAATTTTTGAAAAATTTTCAGCAATGTCGGCACTTTCATAACTTCCACTTCGTGATTTTTTTATTTTTTTCATTGTTTGATTTTTTTCAATTTTTTTCATTTTTTGAACTGGAATTGCCACAGCGGAAAAGGTGTTATATTAGATCTTTGTTGGTGGTTCACTCACTGTCGGCACTCTGACATTACAGCCCCCCCCCCCCACATTTCTTTTCTGGCGCCATCCCTGAATCGGTTCAAGATTATTTGAAAAGTATGAAGGAAATTGCTGATAAACTCCATGCATTCGGGTCTACAGTGGCTGAAGAAGAGCAAGTCGTGGCATTGCTCATAAGCCTTCCATCAAGCTGTACAGCACTTGTTACAGCTCTGGAAGCTAAAGGAGATGATCTATCACTGGCCTTCGTCCAGCAAGCCCTTATCAATGAAGAGCAGAAAAAAACAGGCCTTCAAAGCAACCGCAACAACTAAAATTAATCGAAACTCAGCATTGCACTTGGAAAAGGGCATCAGCAGGCCTTTCAAAGGCAAATGTTACAACTGTTGCAAGGGGGGTCATAAAAGCTTTGAATGTCAAAAAAGGAAGCAAGTGAGGCCCAGCAATTCATTTAAAAATGAAACACATAATGCAAAGACTGCAGAAAAGGAGCATTATGATGACTCAGACTCTCAACTCTTTCTCGCTGAAAATGAACAAACAGAAAATGAGAAAAACCGACAATAGATTCTGGATTCGGCTGCCTCGCAGCATATGACCTCAAACAAACTGCTTTTGATTAAATACAGAGAGTTAAACCAGCCTGAATTAGTCAAACTGGGTGACTGATATACAGTGGAAGCCTGTGGATCAGGACGAGCTCAATAACCAAGGAAACAAGCCACAAAAAGCAGCTGACAATTGAAATGGATAATGTACTCTATGTTCCGAAACTAGCTTGCAACCTGTTCAGTGTGCGAACTGTGACACAGAAGGGACTCATTGTTCAGTTCGGACATACTTGTTGCTGGATAAAAGACTCGGACGGTAAGACTGTAGGCAAAGGAAGACTCGTTAAGCGAATGTACGTTTTGAGCTGCGAAACAGATATAACAGCAGCTTATCACCAATCTGAAAGGATGGAAAATAGCAACCCTAGCACGATGGATATTTGGCATCAACGACTAGGACATATAAATAGAAATCATTCAAGAAGAAGCTCATCAAAGGAGTTGCCATCCAAGAAAATGACGAAATGAACTTTTGTACAGGGTGTGCGGATAGTAAGATAAGCAGAAAACCTTTCAAGTCAACAGAGGGAATCAAGACTTCTAGAAAATTACAGATCGTTCACAGTGACGAATGCGGACCAATGTCAATACAGAGCTTTTCAGGAAAGCGTTATTTTGTCACATTCATCGATGACAACTCGAGATTTGTCAAAGTCTACTTCATTAGAATGAAGTCTGAGGTACTAAAGAGGTTTAAAGAATTTGAAGCCTCTGCAACCAATTAAGCTGCATGTAAAATTGGAACCTTGCGTACAGATAATGGCGGAGAGTATGTATCAAATGAATTTGAAAATCTTCTGAAAAGGAAAGGTATCAAACACGAAACCTCTGTTCCTCACTCTCCACAACAGAATGGAGTGGCTGAGCGCATGAACCGGACTCTCATTGAATCCGCAAAAGCGATGATGAACCATGCTGAA